TTGTGCGAAGAGGTCGCCCAACTCCTGCGCTAGCTAACCTGTCCCAGCAAGGAAGAGAGTTTGTCCGTCATTTTCAGACGAGCAATTATGAACGCTACCCGTGACTCACAGCCTCTGTAAACGCTGCACATTGTACTGCTGGGAATGCCTATTGCTTGTAACTGACCGATTTGGTTTTTGGAGCCACACTGGATTGTTTTACTAAGGCAGCAAGGAAACGGCTGGGCACTTACAAGCTATGGTGCGTTTAAAAACGTTTGGGGACACTTGCGTAGATCTGCACCTCAGTGAAAAGGCACTACATTGGTGAGTAAATGAATTTTATTTTACATTTCTTCTTGTCATTTTATTTCGTTAGTATTAAATTCATGGCAACGAAATAAAATGACAAAGATACAAAAATGTATCAAATAAATCTGCTCACCTGCAATTTATAATGGCGCATTGTAGTCACCTTCGTGCACGAAAGTTCGTTCAATCTCAGCTGTTCGTCAGTTATTAGTTAGTCAGTTATGTCAGTTATTTGCTGTTGTATCGCCGATTTTCAAAATGCGAATGATCTGTTTATTTTCAAAGAATAGTTTGTTTTGTTATTGTTTGGTTGGTGTCTTATATGAAACTGCGACACTGCGCAATTTATTGGACAGACTTGTTGAAGATCACACAACGTAATTTGGGTGGCATTTTATTTCGTATTTTTAAATCATCTTTTTATTTTTGACTATCTGTAAATTTAGTTTCCTGCTCTTAATTGTGAATGCATACTTGATGGTTTTAAATGCTCCTGAAATTAAGTGCTGCTTGACGAGCCTATATTGTGTATGTATGTGACGTCACTGAAGGCCTAAGGTTGAAATGCACGGCCCGCCACTGGTTATACAGCATGACGAAATATGAGCAGAATATAGACTTCATAAGCCAACATGATGAGCTCATGTTGTTCAATATGACACATTTTCTCTTTTGTGGGTTTTGGTCTGTGCACTCAAGTCATTCTTAAGATAGGTGCAGAACAGTATTCATAATACACAACATAACCCCCTCCACTCAAACACAGGCCATTGTTTTAATATAATTCTCTCTTCTTTGAAAGGTTTCTTGCTGTTTGTCTATAATCAGTTTTGGTGAGTGTAAAACATGACTTACATCATTTTTGTCTTCAAAATGTCTAACGAGTATTGTATGTGATTAATCACATAAACACAAAACTGTATGGGGTGAAAGGGAGATTGGAGTGGCTTACAGACTTTGCCCTCCCTTTTCATTTCACTATTTTGGCCAGTTCCTTATCATATTCTTCAATCCTGGAAATAATGTATAGCACATGCTACTGCTGTATGTTCTCACCCTGACAGTTCATTGTATTGACACAATATTAATCTCTTGACAGAACCTAAGCACTGAAGCAAGACGTTGTATCATCCAGTAGATGTCTCCGTCCTTGTAGAAGGACAGGAGATACTGCCTGCATGCGGTGAAACCGCGAAAGCCTGAATGCTGTTAATGGGGGTGATCTACGCCCTCAACCTGGCCTACCCCACTCCACTGCGCTACACCTATGAGGCGTTTCAGAAACTTTTGCTAGGACCGAACGCAGTGAAGCTCTAAATTCCACAATCTGAGGGTGAAGATGTTATCATGAAGCAACATCACACACCCTCAGACAGTGACCCAAGCCCTCACCTGTTATTTATTTTTACCAGTTGTAACCTGTTGGCTGATGTTCCTCTGTTTTCAACCTGTAGTTCAAAAGTTATCTTCAAAATACGGTTGCGCACATTTTGGTGCAATAGTGTTTTGAAATTAACAATATTAAGATTAAGATTTTGATTTAATTTAAGATTAAAAAAAAACATTTGACAGTATAACACATAATTTTCTAAAATTGGGCTGAAGATGTGTGTATGGGGCTACATTGCTGCCAGATGTTTATTTTTTGGGGTGGGGTGTATCTTGTAAGTATGACATTTATTTGTGTCCTCTTTCATAAAGTTGACCATCTTGTTAAGATATAATTATATGCTATATATCGTATTATATATTATATAATTATATTTCTATGTACAAGAGTTATGTTGCCTTTACAAGATAATTATGTTAACCATATACCTGTACCCAGATTCCATGTTTGTGATTTGTTTTATGTCCATATAAATGCAATGTTTATGTCTGCCACACATGGATATTGTGAATAAACCATTGCATTGGAAAATTGAATATTTATTGTCACATTTATTGGAACACAGTGACAAGTACTTAGATATATTAGGTAAAGAGATATGTATCATCAAGTTTCAACTACCTATTTGCTACATATTGGTAATCATTTCATTAATTTAAGGTTTACTTAATTCTTTCACATTGGTTACCTGATTACAGCAGTTGCTTTATTACAATTTATTATTGAGGTTTACTTAATTCTTCAACATTGGTTACCCATTATAGCAATTACTTTTTACTAAATGAAAATGTGTAACTTGACAATTGAGTTGAGTAAGGGTTACTTAATATTTTCGGACCTCCAATTTTTAGTTTCTTGTAATTCTTACCTAAATCTCATGAGTGGGATATACTTGAAATATGAGCAGTGAAATTTGCAAACATGCTGCGCATTAAACACACAGCTAAGACAAGATAGCAGCTAATGTAATGTAATGTGAACAGTATAAACCGTAGAGACAATATAAACAATATAAACAACATAAACAATGGCACTTGTGGCTATTGTGGGTAAAGTGAGGTAAATGAGTAAATGTGACTAGTCGTTTTTTACAGTGTGCTACCACTCTGTGGCAGAATGGCCAACAACAAAATAAATGTTCCCGTCAGCAACCTTTAGAACAGGCTTGGGCAAACTTTCGCACTCAAGGGCCACGTTTGATTTTTAAAAATAACAGATGGGATAAGGTCATTTGTACATTACATGAAAAAAACTGTCAACCAATAGGAATTTGCTTTATTACAATTTATTATTGAGGTTTACTTAATTCTTCAACATTGGTTACCCATTATAGCAATTACTTTTTACTAAATGAAAATGTGTAACTTGACAATTGAGTTGAGTAAGGGTTACTTAATATTTTCGGACCTCCAATTTTTAGTTTCTTGTAATTCTTACCTAAATCTCATGAGTGGGATATACTTGAAATATGAGCAGTGAAATTTGCAAACATGCTGCGCATTAAACACACAGCTAAGACAAGATAGCAGCTAATGTAATGTAATGTGAACAGTATAAACCGTAGAGACAATATAAACAATATAAACAACATAAACAATGGCACTTGTGGCTATTGTGGGTAAAGTGAGGTAAATGAGTAAATGTGACTAGTCGTTTTTTACAGTGTGCTACCACTCTGTGGCAGAATGGCCAACAACAAAATAAATGTTCCCGTCAGCAACCTTTAGAACAGGCTTGGGCAAACTTTCGCACTCAAGGGCCACGTTTGATTTTTAAAAATAACAGATGGGATAAGGTCATTTGTACATTACATGAAAAAAACTGTCAACCAATAGGAATTTATTTTTATTTTTAACCAACAGCCCGATGGAGTGTGTGCGCGCGCGCCTGTCGGGTCGAGGGCGCGCATCTTCGTGCACCTGGAGCACAGCTGCATTGAGCGCAGATGAGGAGCAGCAGCGGGATGGCAGTGAAGAGGCGAAACGCAATCGATCGGTGATGATCAGCGTCGACAATCAATGAATAAATCCACGTTGACGTGAAGAGACAATCTGACCTCACGTGCATGATGCTTCTTGTGGACTGCGAGACGGACGCGCTGTGGTCCAGGTAGGAGATCGCGACAAAGCACAAGCATGTTGCGCACGCTAGATTCTCGTTCGAATCTGTTGTCCAGCCGAGTAACCCACAAACCTCGTTATCACGGGCGCAGGAAGTCGTTTTGGAGTTTGGAGAGTGGAATACGTAATTGCGGAGATACCCCCGGCAGGACAACGCCCCTCCCTACAGTGTGGCCCCTCTTGAGGAGGGACGGAAATCAGTCACATGCCACAATCATACACCATTTGGTCAGGCAACAAAGGAGGCCATTTGGCACCGTGATACATTATCCGGACTGTCAATAAGGGTGGTCACCTGTTAGCTCAACACATTATTTGTACCATCGATATTTCATAGATTGAGATATTGAATATATAAACATAACATGAAAGACATGAAAAAAACAAATCAAAGAAAAAAAATCTATTCAAAGCTTGGTTCAGTAGGCTCAAAGGGAGTAGGAAGAGGGTTGAAAAGCCGATTCAGTCCTAGCCCCTTGTTCTCTATAAGTTATTAACAATCACGATATCATGTTAATACACAAGTAGGTTATTTCTAAATTTGTACCAATTAAGAAAAATAAAAAAAAAACATTGCTTCTCTTTACACTTGTTCAAATAGCTGTACGTATGAGCCCAAAGTGTAGACCCATTGTGGAATATACTCGCTATAAATAAAAGCAAATAAACAAAAGGAAAATATGAATGTACTCGCCCCTTGATACATCTCTACCGATAATCTTATTCATAAACTAAAACCTGACCAACCTCGAAAAATATATTCAGTGCAGTTTCTCATGTCTATAAATGACTGATATGTTTTGGTAGCACAGTACTATATATTAAATCTCTATTCAACACAACAAGCGATTCACAACTTTTCCATTGTATTTCCTAATTGCTCTATAATTTGCTTTGTGTTTGTTTGAGTCATTGACTTTTTTAGACACGTGCACCTCTTAAACTACAACAAACCACTCTGATTTCGAAAAGCTTCTGGATTTCTGTGGCAAAGTTGGTTATTGTGTGCTTTGTATATTATTTGTGCTGTTTTGAATGAAAATGAGTCATAGAATTTGTGAGTGTTTAATTTGATCAATAATTGATTTGTTGGATCTATATAATTTGAATGGTTAATCATTTTTATAGCTCTTTTTTTTATAGCTTAAAGATAAACTCAGTATTGTTTTTGAACATGCAAACTCCACGCAGGAAGCCCGGAGCCAGAATCAAACCCTGCACCTTTGCACTGTGAGGCGAACGTGCTAACCATTACTTAATGTAGTTTCCGCATTTTACTGTCTCAAGTAGTTGAGACAGTAAAATGTTTTTTAAACTGTTCGTCCGGTTTATACCGTTAAATGCAATTCATGCGTTGAAATGTGGCTTCTACTGTTGAATAGAGCTGTAGCAGTTAAATGCAGTTTATGTTAATTAAGGTAGGTGAAATATTTTTCTGCTGTGAATGTATGAATGTTTGAATTTGGTACATGTGGTTCATACTTTGAAATGTAGTTTATAGTTAAAGCAAGACACAAGTAAAAATACATTGTACTTAGTTGAATGAGGCAGTTTGACGATTCCCTGGAAAAAAGTTCAAGCCAATTTAAGGCCGTATCTCACAGAGCAGCGAAGGTTTGCAAGCATGTGCGCATCAAGTGAATGTTGTTTTTCCGTCAGGGCTTGTTCAAGGTCTCAAACGGTTGCAAAGATGTTCATCAGCAATTTTGATGGTTTGAAACAGTATTTTATTTATTTATTTATTTATTTTGTCGCATAGAAATTATGGACAGGGTTTTGTGGATTACTTTAAAAATGCATTCCGGTTCAGTTACCAGTTAATAAATTTATTTAGTCACATAATCCAAGTAACTGTACCTTGATATTAAAGTAATGTCATGTTTTTTTTTTTTTTTGTAACCGCAACAGATTACAGTTAAATTTTATTTTTTAAGCCTGAATACATAACGCCATGACATGTATTCCATGACTCGCCAAACCTGATTTTGAACATGTTTAAAATTTGATGGCAACAAGACAAATATTTGCAGCCATTAAAACTATTTGGGAACATCTGGCGAACGTCTTTGGAAGCTGTTTGCAACAGTGAACGAACCCCGACAAAATTTGCAACAGTGAACGAACCCCGACAAAAAACATTTGCTACGTGTGTGCACCATTCAGTGAGTACGGCTTTGAGCCCTTATCCCACTGAGGTGCAAACTCAACTCAACTGTATTTATAGAGCACTTTCAAACAGCCATGACTGCACACAAAGTGCTGTACATGGAGCAACTAACATATACAACAGTAAAGCAACAAATCAGTTGGCAAAGGGGGCAAATGTGTTCTCATCAGGATTTGTCAGGGTTTGTTGAAGGTTGCAGATGTTCGCCAGATGTTCTCCAGATGTTCGTCAACAGTTTCAATTTTGTCGTGTTCAACAACCATAGGACAAAAAAGAAAGAGACAAATATGTAAAAATCATATCATATCATATGGATTGTTTTTGTTTGTTATATATTTTAAACATATTTGGTATAGAATAATCCAAAAGTAATTAAAAATACTCCATTTACATTACTTTAATATTATGGTAATTGGATTACATTGCTTAATATCAGTGGCGGACCCTCAGGGCCAGCAAGGCCTTCTCTGCTGGCCTAAACATTCTCAGAAAAGTAAATTTACTTTTATGTATTTTATGTTATTTTATAATTTATGTTATTTTATTTTCATAAATATGAACACAATATTATTCTCTGTATTATTTACGTCATATTATTTCCACTTAGTTGAGTGGATATAATAACTCAATAAATAACTTATTTATTATGGTAGAGTTTTTAACCAATCATATTTCAGCTAGCTTGCGTTGCCAGGTAAATTAAACTTGCTCGGGGCCTTCAGATTAAACAGAGCA